TAGTTTTTTTTTGTGCCAGTATAGTTAGATTATCCCAAATATAAAAAAGACCGAAACTTCAACGAAACTGAGAGGGCCCGTACACCGTCCTGCAAAAAATAGAAGATATTATCCAGCGTATTAATAAAATCAATGCGATTAAGAAAACGCAACCTTTTTTTTATTGGACCAACCTAGCACAATGTTTAGTTGCAATTCTGAAGCCAACTCAGCCTGATGTGTCTTCAACAATATTTAATTTTTTAAAATGTCAGACAACGAGGAATATGCTGGAAATGTTGGGGGCATTTTGAGTGCTATTGATTCAGAGCAGTTAATTTATCAAAACTACTTTTTGACATGTGGTAATATTGAAAAAAATTTTTATTATGCTCACATCAATCTTCAAATAACATGTAAAAGTGTCCTTTTAAAAATCTTTGATTTGCTAACGGATGAATTCAATAACAATGCTTTAGTCGGTTACTTCTCGACCAAAGCAAAAAAGCGATCACACAAGTAGTGTCGATATTATTCATGGAAAACTGATGTAATTTAGTGATAAATCGCAGTTGAGGCACCCTCTAGATTTTCTACGAAAGCGATTATTTTATCATCGCGACTAACAATCGTAATTGGAGGGCTAGACTTACTGTCCAGCAAAAATTAATATTGAAAACTTTGTTTTCAAACTTCCACAAAATTTATTTTAAATTCTTATCACTATAGCTAATTTTTACCCATTTGACCGATGAAAGTTTTTGGGAAGTCGACACACCACTGTGTAAGTGTTTTTTATTTTGGCTCTTGTTGTTTTTAATATGTTGCTATATAATTACTTTAAGTTATTATCTGTTCTGAAAGCTAGTGTTATTCCTTTCTTTTTTATGTGTATGGCTATTTTTGTTGATATTTTGCCTGTATACGTAATCGAGCAGAAGGTATTGGGTTTTTTCTCTGGTGGTGGAAATACTAATTTCAGGGCTTTCTTGTGTAGTTTTTGATTTAACGTTTTATTAATTGTTTGTTCGTTGTATCCGTTGTTTACTGCTATTTGCTTCATGATATTTAATTCTGTCTCAAAGTTGTATTTTGACATCGGAATTTTGTTAATCTATGTAACATACTATGATAGGCTGCCAGTTTATGTCGTGTGGGATGGGATGATGAATTGTGTATAGTCGTGTCAGTATGGGTAGGTTTATGAAATATGGAGAAGCCATGTTTGTTTTTAAGTCTGATAATTTTTAAATCAAAAAAATTTATGGATTGATTTTGTTCTGTTTCTATTGTAAATTCAATGTGACTAGGAAGTGAATTAATATACGAATAAAATTGGTCGAGTTGCCTGTTAGTTCATGTGAAACATACCAGTACGTAGTCTACGTATCTCCACCAATATAAAAACTGTTTGAATATCTGTTTTGAAATCTGTGTCTCTAGATGATCCATAAAAATATCTGATAGCAATGGGCTTAAAGAATTGCCCATTATAAGTCCTACAGTGTTATTTGTGTATATTTGAGTACTAAATTCAAAATATTCCTGGTTTATGCAAACTTCAAGAAGATGTAAAATTTCAGATGTAATGATTGGATTTGTACTATTTTGGTCTAAAAGGTTTTTTACTAGAATAAAAGTTTCTGTAGGAGGAATACTAGAGGAAGAAAAGATAAGAGGAGGAAGGAGTATAGGAAGGAGAGTGTCATGGTTAAAGAATTTAAGGGACAGGTTTAAATGCAGGTCTACAGAACTCTTCAAAGCAGCAGTAGATAAAGTAAAGATAGTGATGACGATATCTAACCTCCGATTGGGAGACGGCTCTTAAAGAAGAACTATACTGGGCCACCTCTTTCGAATATTGTATGTAAAGCCTGGTCTTGGCTTTGTCACTTTAAAGCTTCAAACTTTTACGAGCAAATTCGTAGACTTTTTACAATTTCTTTTTTAAATTTTCAATATACGTCAGGGATGAACGTTCTTCTTCGCAGGGAGGCAATTACACAATGATGTGTACAAACTTAAATGTGGCGACTACTATCACTAATAGTGATAAGAATTTAAAATAAATTTTGTGGAAGATTGAAAACAAAGTTCTCAGTGTTTTATTATTACATAAAATAAATTTCCATCAAGTAACGATCGAATCCATCAATTAATTAATATTGAACTAGACAAATCATTAAGCAAATCTGACTGTTTTCACCAAGGGAATTTTATGAACTCTCAAATATTAGGGGAGAACGAGGAACGTCGGTCAGCAGGTAACGGCAGTCACCGGAATATTTACTTTATAATATTTGAATTTTACTCCCAGGGACGTGCTTCCACGTAATAGCCGGTTGTCCAAGTACCTTAAAAGCAACTAAGTACATGCAGTTGGTTTCTGTTGTGGCAGTAAGCAAGTCAATGTTTGTTGTATGTGCGTTGTAATTTTAACCGACACGTAAATAAGCAATCATATAGTTGTGAAAAATATTTTAATTTCGGCTTTCGAACCATTAAAGGTAAGGTTTTATAACTTATGTTTTCCATTGAAAGTTAACAAAAAAAAATACATCTTTCCAAAATAATCTAATGTAAATATGGCTGACTTGCAATGGGGTATTAGCAGTCTTTGACTGGCATAACCCCTCGAGTGACTGCCATTACTCAATGATTTTGAAAAAGTTTATCTTTTATATTATTTTAAAGTTTTATATGGCTATTTTAATATTGTTCTTTATATTTTACATGGCAGGAGACCAGAGCAGCTATCAATACGGTGCAAAATAGGAACTCAATTAGAACAGTTTCTAAGAATAATGTTGTTCCTTTCAGTACTATTCAAGAGAGACTTAAAAATTATGTGTGGTCCACGTCTAGAAAGAAAAGCTGTTCATCGCTGACCAAGAAGTCAGCATAGTGAAATACTTGAAAGACTTTTGCCACGATGTACTAAGGGTTGATACCTCTACAGTTTAGAAAAGTTGCGTTTGAATTTGCAGAAAACCAAATATCGCCACAAAGATGCACTCGCAAATTTTGACCCTCAACAGAATTCAAAGATGAGTTAGAAAAGAAGAAAGAAAACCTGAAGAGCATTTAAAACTAAAAGAACGAAAAAAAACTTTGAAAAAATGTGCTCTTAAATTTGGGAGTTAACTTGTAAATGTTAAAAGTAATTACTTCTTATGATTTTGAGGTGAACTGTCCAAATGTGAGTTATTTATGTAAGGAATTAGGAGACAATTACTCAGTGCAATTTGATGACAGCGAACTTGAAGAAATATACCCGAAGGGTTTAGTCTGGAAGAAACTACCGCAACAAATTAACGTATGTGTGTGTGAAAGATATGGCACGGAAACAAGTCCATCAGCCACAGAACGTTTTATTTATGTTTAAAGATATTTTCTTTGTTCTTGTTTGTTACTTTTACTGATATATGTATAAATCACTAAAGTTAGACTAATTTCCGTACCTCGGAGGTAAAGGACACTATGTCCATTTTCTTGCTTTTTAAGGAGAGCAGTTTTAACATGTTTTAAGTTTTTAATCAGTAAATACTCAGACGTTTCTGATATTTAACCAAAATTATTATAATATATTAATTTTGGTTAAATATCAGAAACATTTGAGTATTTACTGATTACAAATTTAAAACATGATAAAACTTCTCTCCTTAAAAGGTAAGAAAATGGACATAGTGTCCTTTACCTCCGAGGTACGGATTTATATTTTTACTTTTACATCTTTAATAAAATTTATTAGAAATTCTAAGGTTTCTCTATTAGCAATTGCCAAACTGTTTGATAGACTTAACGGAAGCAAATATTTCATTTTAATAAGAGTTTAAATTAATTTATTAGATTTTTGTAAATATGGTCTGTTGCATCCAAAGAAAATATGGTCAAATATGGTAAGAATTTATATCACAACTGCAGGAATGGTCAGTAATATTCCAAGCTTAAATAAATGCGACGGGAATCGACCATGATTCGTTTTTTAAGCGAAATACACTTGCCGAGAAGAATTTGATAGTCGAGTAATTGAATATATATTGGGATGGGAGTGGTAAAGTGGGGTGTATATGGAAATATGTATTTTGCGAGTTTTGAACAATATTCTCCCATTGCTGTTCCCATTTCAGCCTTATTTTATTTTTTAGTTAACTATATCCCTTACTGTATCCATATTGCAAAAGACTCCATTGTCCACTGTTCCCATAGTTAGAGTATCAGCATTTTCATTCCCTGGTCTGGCCTCCAACCCAAATAAATGTTATATTTAAATTTACGATTGTTGTTTTTTAAACAACATAACATAGGACACTTCATTTCTTCAATTTTTTGTATTTTTTATAGTCTAATGCAGATTTAGAATCAGGTAATATTACTTCTTCGAGTATGTTATTGGATGTTAACCAGGTAACACCTTTTATAATTGCAAAAAGCTTGTGTTTTTCTTCTTGTAAAAATTTCAAATGAAAAAGCAAACAATTTTCCGGTTAAAGTGGTTGAACTGTTTCTGAACTGAAAAAGTTTAATGCGTGCATATAGAGGTAAAGAGCAGATATTTGTTTTCCCAGAAGTACATGACATGAGTTTCATCAGTAAACATTGTGGAAAAAATTATTAAGTTTAAAAAGTTGAGATGTTATAAAATAATGTTCGAATGATGTGCTATGTTCATTTATTTTTGTTATGTGATAAAATGTAATAACAAATGAAATTTAATGTATCATTATCCGACATCGTAGGGTGATACCGGTCAATCGGCTGTTTTGATTTTTATCATGAAAAAAAAGAAATCATTAGAGCTGTACGAACCCAATTAGAATATAACATAGCCAAACATTGAAATACCAAAAGAACACATTTCTAGAAATCTTACTAAAATATGATTTATCACATCATTCACAGTATTTTTCCCGTCATTCCTTCGTTCTCTCCTACACAGAACTAAGACCTAGTGACTCACATGCGCCAGGAACAAGATGAAGGAGAAGGAAGTCTGTTGAGTGGTAACAAAAACAACAAAATATAAATAACTTTTTATTGAGAATACATAATTGCGGAAAATATTATTAGCACTTCATTTTCTATTTTTCAGCATCCTAAATAAGGCAGCTTACTTTTTTTGTTTCGTATCTACAACATAATTATTAATATTAAAACTACTGCTTTTTACAAATACATAAATAATAAACTGTTATAATATTAGAATCGGACATTTCTCAACCGCGACGAGATGGAGAATTAGCAGCGTAAACAATTAATTGTTATCCACGCTTTTTCATTAATATCGTTTCTTATTGTTTCCAAAAAGAGTATTTTTTGTTAATTATTATCAACATATATAATAAAAAGTTAGGTTAGGTTAAAAAGAGTATAAGAAATCATACAAAATAGTATTCAAACTATTCAGAAAACAAAATTTACAACAAAATGCAAGAAATATTTGATTACGACTTCAAATGTTCTCGATTTCCAGCGAAAACATTCCCACTCAATCTGTATAAAACCATTGTACCATCGAACGAACTCTTACGCTTTACGCTCGAGTGAACCATGATAATCAGAGCTTTCGATGTATTATTCATCCATCGGATAACTTGATTCACTTGAAAATTCCAACCAGAAGTGACTATATTCCTCACCTGGAAGTGACTATAGCCAACCTGCTGAACTAACGAGCCGAACTCTAGGATAAAAAGGAAATAATAGGCGAAAGAGACTCAGTACTGACCGTGTTATCCGTTACAAAACAGTTCAAAAATATCAAACTCTAGTTTAAACTCTCTGAAGTATTTTAAAGGCTTAGGCAGGAGACAAAGCTTTGCATATAAACAACAAAATATCATGAAAATTAAATAAATCAGATTATATATTATAAGAAACACAAAAATAAAAAAATTTGCATAAAAGATCGAAAAAGAAGTAAAAAAGTTTTAGAATAAAAAGTCGGACTACAAAAAGATTGTAATTTACAAATAATTATATATTTGTAGTATATAAAACATACATATGTGACTATCTAAAAACGACAAAATATAATGCTTTATACTCTATTTATATTGCATATTCGCAACATAAACAAATTATCGAGGCTTGTGACGCACGCGTTCCGATGATATTCGCCTTCTGACTTGCTAAGAGACTATTAAATATGATTAATCGCCTTGAGCTAGAATGATTGTCAGAGAGGCAATAAGAAGATAATCCACGAATTCTTTTTTCGAAATTAAATACCCAGAATAGATAAAAGTTCTGAGGATTATTAATGAAGATCCTGTTTTGCCTAATTTAAAAAAACTACGCTTTTTCAATTATCGAAAAAAAAAGTTTCAACTTCGTCAGCAAAACAGAACATTGAAACAGAATTTTACAGAAATGAAAACCGCATGAATTACTTAAACTAAACTTGGCTAAACGCTGGTCACACTAAATCCAAAGTATGAGCCGACAATTCGGTAACATCTTATAAACAAGCGTTATTAGATTGACTTTCTAGAAGGTTAAAAAATCCTGCAGGTAAATGTTATAAGTGCTTTTTCACTTCAAGTAAATTTTAAAATATCAGTTCCAGCTAATTAAGGACTCCACATACTCCATACATTCCGCCGAATTGTATGCCATATCTAAAGCCCTACAACATATCAAACCAGCAAAATTGGAAGCAGTCATTTTCACAGATTTTTTAACCGAGTATAAGGAATATTAAGGGTTTACCCAAACCACCCAATACTATGCCAAATTAAAATTGATCTAGAAGAACTTTACAGTAAGAATAAAAGGGTAAAAATTTGTTTGGATTCCATCTCATGTATTTTTTTTTGTGTGTGTTTTGGCTTGGACAATTGTCATTCAGCCAGTCTCAACCAAGATAAGTTTATTAATGTAGTGTGTGTGTGTGTGTGTGTGTGTGTGTGTGTGTGTGTGTGTAGAGTAATTGTCTTGATACTTAGCAAAGTCGACGTCATTGTCTTTGCTAAGAGACGCTAATTGTATCCGAACGTCTGCGGTCCCTCCGGTGTGTACCGATCACACAAGGAAAGAAATTATTTTCATTTATTAATTTTTTTTTTAAAACGAAAATTTCCACCCAGGTGGGATTCGAACTCACGACCTTTAGGTTTAAAGGCAGCCGCTATTACCACTGAGCCACAGAGGGGGTTCCTCTGTGGCTCAGTGGTAACTGTGCCACAGAGGCATAATAGGTAATGAAAAAGCTGATCGGGAAGCTAAAGAAGCCTGCTATACGAATAAACCAAATAAAAAGCTCCTAGAAATTCCTCATTCCGACATTCAAAACATTATCAAAGAATTTTCAATAAGAATATTGCTCGAAAGATGGAAAAAACTTCACTTGAATTCACTTCACAGAAACTTTACTTCACAATGAATATTTTATTTTAGCACATTTTTCTTCAACAGAGCATTAAATTTTACTCACAATTAAACTTCCAGAAATGCTTTCATTCTTAGGTTACAGAAGTAAATATTTCAAAAAAAAAAAATCATATGATACACCTCAATACAACCATGTTTGGCGTTCCCATACAACTGTGTACAGTTGGGAATATATATTATGAGTGAACTGTAACAAAATCCGATAAACATGGTACAAATCCGACAATAATGTATCCTCCCAACACGTACCCGATAAAAACAAAAAAACAATTCGGGCATTAAAACACCTAATTTTAAATATTCAAGTACGCCGATGCTCAAAGTTTCTATTTCGACTGGTCTTAGACGAAATTAAGCTTTTTTTTGGCTAGACTTATCGTTATACAGCCAGACAAAATTAAGCATTCCATTATTTAAAATTTTATATTTCTTATTATTTCTCTAGTGATTCTAGATAAAATTTTTAACTACCCCAATGGTTTCCAAGAATGAAATACTTTTTTATGCTTAACTGGGGATAAAATTTGATAAGGCTTTCTTGCAAGTGTGTTTTCTTGGAAGTTCTATTGCTGCCTGCAATAATAATCTGGTGCAGATCCTTCTGCTACCCCCACCTCGTTTGCATATTATTACAATCGAATATTAACTGCAGTGGATTATATCGTATGTGGTACCTGCCTCTGTATGTACTGTGTTGTATAAATATTTATTTTCTGTTGATAATTTCCGGCTCGGCGCATCAAAATTATTTAAAAATAGTTAAAAAAGAAGTCCGACGCTAAAATAATATAAAGATCCTAACTTCAGACCATGAAACACTATAATTACAGAATACCATCATTAAAAACGTTTGCTTGGAGTCATATATACATAAAATATTGATAAATTATAAAACTCATCATTAATATTGTCATAGTCAAATCTTCTTGACTTTCAAAATGTTAAAATATGTGAATCTGCTAATTCTCCGTCCCTGATATAGTCATTTAACCATAATTTATCTTTTTAATCCTCTTTTCCATTCTAATCGTTTATTAAATAACTCCTAAATTATTAGAAACAATCCAATATGTTTATCGTAAAGGTAAAACTGAGTCAGAAGATTTTTCACTTTCATCTGGTTTAAATGAACATAAATTTCATTCCTGTTAAATTTGTTTAAAAATAGTAATGTGTTCAATTAAATAAAAGTGTACTGGTGTCTCACTAATATATAAAAGGAAATAATTGAAAAAATATTACCGAGAGAAAGATGTCAACTTATCAATATAGGTTATAGATGGCGCTGCTACAAAAAAAAATAAAATATTTGATACGAACATTCCTTGTTTAGATAAATGTGATATTTATATAAGTCTAAATAAAAAAAGTGTGGTAAGTATCGTAAAATTATTCGTTTAAGATGGGAATATCTTTAACAGATATTCATACAAAGATAATTGAAGTATAAAGCACTAAAAATTTCGATAAAAACTGTTAAAAGGGTAATAGTATAAGTGTCATCATATATTGCCTGAAATAATGAGCCGCTGAAAGTAAAAATAAAAACTACCAAAGAAAATATCGGGAGAAAATATCAAAAACAGCAACTAATAAGAAAATATCGAAGCGATACACAATATGCTAGATTATCGTAATTTGTGATTAGAAAGTTCCAAATAGCACTTTTAGAACAAAATACCGTTATTAAAGAAATGTTTTGCACAACAGATTAAACTATATTGACAAAAATTAATTGATTTCACTACCAGATTAGAGAACTTTTCATATTCCCCTCCTAAATGCCAGTGATTGTAGTATTTCGTGAAACTTTTTATAACCAAGACAATTCTGTTGTGTCATTCTTGCGTAGTATGTTCAATGGAACAGAAGTATCTTATTTGTCACTAATATATAAAACAAAATTTTTAAAAAAGCTACGAGGGAAACTTAAAAATGTTCGATCTGGTGCGTAGATGGCGCTGCTAATAACAAAATTAACACTTTGGTATGTTATATATTTATATGTTAATTACTTTCGCGTAGAAAATTAATAAAGAATATTTATAACTGCAATGAAATTCTTCATTTTTGATAGTATATCTACAACAGGTATTCATACAAAGTTTATGAAAGTAAAAAAGTGTCTACACCTTTGTTATGAATACTGAAACAATAGTTCACAGAGTGTAAGAGTCATCGTATATTAATTGAAGATGAGACACGGGAACTACGACTAATGACAGAATATGGTCCTAGATTATTGAGGATGATAGGATATGGCAAATTGTACACAAAAATTCAGTAATCCCACCTTATAACTTTTATCTATTTTTAAATCGTAGGTAAGTAATTTGTGGCTTAACAAGCTCAGAATAACACATCTGGGTAATATCAGAATCATGGTATTAAGGAACATATTGAACTAAAAGTGAATACATTCAAATAAGTTTATTTATTTAACTTCTGAGCTGAGAGCTTATTATCTTCCCCTCGTAAATACCAATTATTTCAGTATCTCGTAACAACACTTCTCTCAATTAATACAATTATACTATGACATTCGCAAATAGTAAGGCGTTCAATGGAACAGTATCAAAAGTATCTTTTTTGTAATATATAAAATGAAATTTTGAGAAAAATGTTACGAGGAGAAGATGAAAAGTTATCAATCTAGGTTATAGATGGCGCACCTATTAAGAGAATTACCGCTTTAATATGTTAACATTTGAAAGACATTTTGTTTTATGTACACAATGAATAAAAAAGTTGTTATCTTCAACAGACGTTCATACAAAGTTAATGAAAGTGTTAAGGAGTCTGCATCTTCGTTATCAACAGTAAAACATGCAAAAAAGTGTCGTCCTATATTGATTGAAGATGGTTTGAGATTAAAGTCAAAAAGAGAAATTAATGAAGAAAATATCGATGCGATAATTGCAGTATGGTGTACAAAACTATTAATTCAGTTCCATTGAACTCTATTTCTACCACTTTTAGGCCAATCCAAGAAATGAACAGATGAGATCCAATTTAACAGGAAAATGTTAACATCCCGATTAGCTAGAGGCTGTTTTAGCAGTTCAAGCACACTGCGATTTGAAATGGGCGTATCACTTACATTTCTACACTGCTTACGCGAGACTATCTTTACTCAGTGGCGTCGGCCAACGGGCAACAAATGCATTACCCTCTATTCAAATTAGTTTTAACACGAACTAACCGACCGTACGCTCATGAGATTTGAAGTCACGAAGCCGATAACGGTGAACCTAAGCGACAATGATGAGTAACACGTTTCACTATTAGATTTTAGTATTTTTTAGCAATTTTCTTCAAAGTTTGAACACGCTTTTCTCGATTATTACTGGACACAGAAAGGTGAAAAAAAATCAACGATTACAGAAAAAAAACTCTTTCAAGCGATGGGCGTAAAAAGTTTGGTTATAATAGAACGTTAAACAGTATAATCCAATTTTTCAAGAGAAGTAACAAAAAAATAAAAAAAGTAAATCATCAATTTAAAAGCAACATAGTTTCGAATATTGTGTCCAAATTTCGAGACATTTTGTCGGTAAATAACACTTCCTAGGTTTTGGTGCACCGATAAAACAGCCTTAGGATTTAAGCGCAGCTCAGGACTGAATGACAATTCAATAATATTCAGCTAAATTACTTCAATGTAAAGTGGCTGATAACCGCACTTGGTAGACAATTGGAGAAGTTAAAAGAAGGCATATTTTCAAAAGTGAATAGCATGAAATTTGATAGATAATTACAGAATGAATCAGTATTTATTCCTTAATTTCTTTAGCTACTCGACACAAAATTATTTCCCTGAAAAGTGGACTAATATTTACATAAAAAAAGATATAGAAAAATCAGGAAGGGATATGTGTAGGTAAAATGTGCCTAGCATCATTATTATTCATCCCACTATCATGTGGATCATGATCATCAAAAGATCAAAAAGGAATTATCATAAGAGGAGAAATAATTAACAATATACGGTACGCCGACGATACTGTGATTCTAGCTGAAAACATCGACGATCTGCAGGAGCTAATCAATAGAGTTGACATGGAATGTACAAATTTAGGACTGTCCGCTGTAGAGAGTTCAGAGATTCAAATACCTTGGATGTTGGATTACCCAAAATCTACATCCATCCTTCGAAATTCGATGTAGAATTGAACAGGCAAGAAACTCATTTCAAAAATTCAAGCCTCTATTATCCAATAACTCATTAAATTTGGAAATCCGTGAAAAGTTTACAAGATGTTACGTGTGGTCTGTACTTTTGTATGGATGTGAAACTTGGACTTTAAACGCCGATATCATGAATAAAATCGAGGCGTTTGAGATGTGGTTGTATCGAAGGATACCAAAAATTCCATGGACTAGCAGAACCAGAAACGAAGAAGTTCTTCGAAGAATGGGACATCAACAAACTCTATTAAATATTATTAAGAGGCGTAAACTAGAATATCTTGGACATATAATCAGAGGACCAAGATATGAGTTCCTTCGGCTAATTCTCAACGGTAAAATCGAAGGAAAGAAATGGATAGGGACGGAAGAAACTCTCTTGGTTGAGGAATTTAAACTTGCAGATTATGTGGATCAAATTTTTATTTTTAGAATTAGTCAAATATTCTTTTAGAAGTAATACCATTAATTTACAACTTTAAGGCACTTCGAAAGATGGAAGTTGTGTGTACCTAATATATCTCTATTAAGCGCCACGTGTGAACGCATTTGATTTTTTGTATACTAGTCGACCAGTCGTAAAAGACACAAGTGCTGCGAATCCAGCTATCTACTTGTGGTTCTCCTTCTCTATCTGATTTTATTATGTTTCTTCATCAAATTATGAAGTTTGACCTAAGGATTGAACTGTTTCAGCTTACAAGCAAAGCAGTAACATTTCCAGAAGATGCCAACCCCTAATGTTGGCGAAACGTCGAGAACTAATCACAGAAGACAACGGCTTGACAGCCCGAACAAACAGCTTAACAAGTTAAACTATGAATTTATCTCTTTCATAAAGTACCAGAAAAAGTATTGAAAACAAAAAAGAAAGATGAGTAGAGAGAAAGTGCAGGACTCTGGAAGTGCCTAATCCTCAGTCTTCCAAACAGTGTCTACAATTTACAATCAGCAGTATCACAGGTTGATTAGCACCTCTTTAAATAAATGAGATTAGATTGGTAATCAACATATTTAATCACTACAACGAGGAACACACTAGCGTTCCACTGTGTGTAATAAACGGTAATTTAATGAATGGCAAGCAACATTAACCAACACCTATCAGTATACACCACTGAATGAATGAATGCCAACCTTCCGATTGTTTTCGCCGGATGACACAAAGAAAAATATGTCATAGTCACAACTGACTACAACTTCATCAATTGACGTTTAACGGTAAAGCTTTTTTCATCACTTTTCTCACCTTTTAATGTTTTTAATGGACAGTTAGGTACATTGGGATGAAACAACTATTTGAATGATAAAAGTGATTTTATTCAAAAGATTACCAACATTTGAGACAACCCACATTCTGCTAGAGATCAGTACATAAAGGTAAACATTTAAGTATCAAATAATAGATATATTTTGACAAAAAAGATGGTAGATCTCTATGGAAGACCGACTGTTACATGCTATAAAACCACTACAACGTTAAAAGGTTAATTATGCTGCAACTGTGGCTATAAGCGAAAACGTTAAGAACTATTGAATTAGAAAAACATACTTAATCATACATTATGTATATACTTAAAATTTTATAAAATGTGTGTTAAGCTGTGAAATATTCTGACTCAATTTTACTAAATTCCATATTTGTAAATATACATTTTTCTTCACAGACACATAGAACCCGCATTCATCTTTTTAAAAATCACCAAAAAATTCCTATAACAATGTTCAACATGTTATCACTCGCCTCCCGTGACCGTCACCTCCTTTAATATGGCACCATCTGTCAAGGGTTGTTTTTCCAAAATGGGCTCGTCCACGGGAGTACTCGGAGTGCTGGACTCCTCTCGTTCGCCGTTTTCTTGGGTAGCCCTGCCGTTTTGTTCGTTTTCTTTATTTACGACTTGCGTTTCCGCGTCTGCTACAGATTTGACCAAATCTTCATCTGGATGTTCTTCCTCTTCGGGAATTACAGGCTGAGATGTGTCTTCTTCTGTTGTTGAAGGCATGTCAGAGGACTGGGAGAGGGTCTGGCTGTTGGTGTCCTAAAAAAACGACATGTAAAAATAAATTTTCAGCTCCACTCATGTATACCTGCTACAGCACTGATGATGGACTTGCTAGTCCAAAAATATTCTGTGATGTAGCACAATAGTCTCTTTTAAATATACTATTAAATTCGAGATTGTTTAAATACAATTTTGTGATTTATAGTATACAGCCGACAACAGGAAATTTAATTTCCATGTGGATGAAGCCACTATTGACAACACTGTTCTATCTTCTGATTTAACCCATACTAAATAAAAAAATGTATAAATGTATAAACTGTATAATGATGATAGACCCGAAGAACCGGAGATTTTAGTTGAAGGTGAAGGACCAGAAATACTAAAATCAGAAATACTGCATGCTATAAAGTTAGCAAAGAACACGAAAGCCGTTGGCCCTGATAACATACCGACAGAGATGTTAAAGCTTATAAATGAGGAGAACATTGGAAAACTGGTCAAACTTTTCAATGATGTTTATTCGACTGGTGATATTCCTGAAGATTGGTTAAAGTCCGAATTCATAACACTACCAAAAAAACAACGTCCGAAAAACTGTAGCGATTATAGAATAATAAGCCTTATGAGCCACACTTTGAAAATATTTCTACGCATCATCCACAGTAGAATCAGAGATAAATGTGAAGAAGATCAGGATGAAACACAATTTGGCTTCAGAAATGGACTGGGAACTCGGGACGCCCTCTTTGTACTAAATGTATTACTGCAGAAATGTCGAGATCCAAGGAAAGACGTCTTTGCTGTATTTATTGACCATAAAAAGGCCTTTGATCGAGTACACCATCACAAATTAATTACAATATTAAAAGATAAAGGAGTTGATAGTCAAGACATACGATTCATAGAAAAGTTATACTGGCGTCAAACAGCGACAGCTTGTATAAACGGAAAATCAACAGAAATATGTAAAATACAAAGAGGTGTCAGACAGGGCTGTATACTATCCCCACTGTTATTTAATTTATATTCAGATAGAATATTTAAAGAAGCGCTGCATAATTTGGAATGGGGCGTGAAAGTTAATGAAATTCTGATAAATACAATCAGATATGCAGACGATACAGTTATTTTAAGTGATGACATGAATGGATTACAATGCCTTTAAATGCCATTGATACAGTAAGAAGAGAGTTTGGCCTAAACATAAACTGTTCAAAAACAAAACACATGGTGTGTAGCCGTTTAGCACATCAGGATGCACGATTATATGTTGATGGTCATATAATTCAAAGACTGTCCAGTTTTAAATATCTTGGTTGCCATATTACTGAACAACTAGATCCAGATCAAGAGATAAAATGTAGAATCGAGATAGCCCGCACGACATTTTTAAAAATGAGGTCATTCTTCTGTAATGATAACTTGAAACTTCAACTTCGAAAGCGTATGGTTAAATGCTACATTTGGCCAGTCCTCTTATACGGTGTCGAAGCATGGACATTAAAAATATCCACCACTAATAGTCTGGAGGCCTTTGAAATGTGGCTGCACAGACATATACTAAAAATTCCATGGACGGCTATGCTGACAAATGTGGCAGTCCTTGAGAGAAAAAATACTGCTCGCGAGCTGCTTGATAACATCAAATGTAGAAAGATGGCCTATTTTGGATACGTAGTAAGGGGAGACCGATATAATATTCTTCAATTTATTATGATGGGTAAAATCGAAGGACGCAGAGGAATTGGTAGAAAGCAGGCCTCTTGGTTGAAGAATATCAGAGAGTGTTCAGGAATAAAGAAAGCTGAGCAACTCTTTAGAATAGCTCGAGACAGAGACAGTTTCGCCATGTTAATCGCCAACGTCAAGGGGACTTGATAGGGCACGTTAAGAAGAAGAAATAAAAAAAAAACATGAGACTGACTAAAAATATGGTTATACTACTCATATTGTGACCGTCTGCGACATGGTTTAGAACAATTTTGGTCTGTTCTCGTATTGGCTTTAGCTTTTCTATTTTCATTTCTCGATTAAATGTAGATTAAATTTAAATAGCAATAGATTTATTAATTATATGTTTTTCAGATTGGCGTATTATTCTTTTAATTATGTTATTTCTGAATATAAAATCTTAATTTATAACAACTTTTGGGTAAATTTTGATGAAAAATTACATTGGACAGTTTTTAGATTATTTCTTTTGAAATTGAAACGCAATTGGGCAAATATTTGAGAACAGAGAAGCTCGAAATCTGAAAAATTTGTATATTTTTCAGCCATGCCGTATAGCAACGAATGAATTTTAACTGATTATTATCTTACCTGTGCTCTGACAGATACAGCACCGTCTGGAGTACCGCCATCCTCGCCGCATGGCCTCAATACCAGGTACAAGAGTAAATCGGACAAAGAGATTATGCCTAACACTTTGTTCTCATCGTCCACAACTACTAACCTATGGACCTAAAAGGCAAAAGCAAATTATTATTGTTGAAACACAAATTGTCACTCACATTGTCACCTAACCAATTCAATATGACTGCTAGAAAATTAAACATTTGTGACTTTAATTTCCCCAAGAAAGAAAAAATGCATGGTTATATGTAACAGCAATTTACTAAGATGTAAATCGGAGCTGGAAGGTCAGATAATAGAACAAGTGATAGTGTTTAAATACCTGGGCATCAAATTATCTAGCTACGGAAAGCTTGAATCAGAAGTGGAAGATCCAGTAAATAGAGCAGACAGAGCCCCAAGTTGCCTGAATGAAACAATAGATCGGGAGAAAAAAAATATCGGGAAAGAAATGAAAAAACACTGAGACAGAGCTAAAAGTACATATACACGACGTGGATGCAAGGTGGAGAACATCGAGAACTCAGTAAGAAATAGAAGAGTAGAATGACACAATCATATAAGTCGAATGACAACAAATAGAGTAGTAAAGACAACAAGAGATGGTTCTGCAATGTATTTATTTTTGAAAGAAAATTTGTGCTTAAAATTAAACAAAAGGAGAAAATAAATAGATCTTACCTCTGCTTTAACAATTTTTTCCATAATAGTATATAAGGTTTCATCTAATTTACATTTATATACACCTTCAAACCACTCGTTTCTGTGTTCATTTGCCTTCTTCAATGAGACGTCTAAATCGTTGTAAGTTTTTTCTGCCGCCAGATTCTGGAAATTAACAAACATTATTAATAAACAGATTATTTAATAACTTTTACAGCAAGCAAAAATTATAAAACTTTTTCTAATCGATAGAAACTAGTTTCTTGTGGCATTTTAAAGTGATTACTATTTGAATGAGAATAAGCCGCAGTTAAGGTTAAAATAAGTTTATTGACGTTTCGATTTCCAATTCGGAAATTGTTCTGGAAGATTTACAGATTAGACAAAAGACGTGTAGCTCAAAAATATGGAAGTGAAGTACTAGGAAATTATATAGTTCTTGATTTGATTGGTGTAGTTAAACTCAGATTAATTACTATGATTTATTCTTTTATCGCTAGTGATTCATGACAGCACAAATTGGGCCTCACTGGTTATTGTAATGTTAAGCTATATTAATAATAGATGTGAATGAAGGCGTACATACTTCATTGATGATTTCAACTCAAACTCACAGTAGCACCACCCCGAGAAGTTAATGTTTTTGAAATTAGCGCTCTGTCTGTGTGAGCTTTATTAAATGCCATTCTTTATGGGGTGTATTCGTAAGTTGCTAAATACACATGTTAAAATAATTAATCTGCTGACAAGCCTCATTCTCGTTAGAGCTTTGAGTTGTTCACTTGGTATTTCACTGGTAATAAAAAAGGCATTCTCCTTTCTTTTTCTTGTAATGCCTATCCGTTTCGGTTGTTGGCGACTATCATGGCAATATGTATTTTCCAAACTGCGGCTCTGGAAACTATTTGTGGTTGTTGTATTAAACCACGTACATAGATTTTTCAGCCAGGAAATTCTTCGCCTTCCTTGTCCCCGTTTTCCTTCTACTTTTTCTTGAAGAATTAATTGTAACAACCCATATCTTTCGCTGTTTCTCACGATGTGAGCGAGGTATTCAATTTTGGCTGTTTTTATTTTGGTTAACAAGACATTTTCCTTTTTGCATTCTTAATAAAACGTCCTGGTTAGTAACGTGGCCGGTATAGGATATCTTCAGGATTCTACGATATTGCTACATTTCGAAACCTTCAATTTTCTTACGGGTAGCTTCTGTGAGAGTCCACGACTCAACTCCGTACAGCAGTATAGGAAAAATATCACATCGTAGTAACCTGATTTTTATGGGTACTGATAAATCGTGGCATTTGAATAGCTTAGCCATTTTTTGAAATGCAGGTATCCTTGCTTTCTATATCCTAAATTTTAATTCCAGGGAATGGTCCAAGTTTTCATTGACGTTCGTACCAAGGTAGGTGTATGTTTTTACTCTTTCTATTGGTTGACCATTCACACTGATTCTTTCAATTTGCTGTTCCTTCTTAGAGCTCATCATACATTTTATTTTCTGAATGTTCACTGAAAGTTCATATCTCTAACTAACTTCTGTGATCCTACTCATTAACTCCTGGAGAGCTTCATAACTGTCAGCGAATAGCACCATGTCATCCGCGTATCTGATGTTATTGATACATTCTAAGTTAATTCGAATTCCGGCTTCAACATCTTCTACTGCTTCTTGAAAGATTTCCTCAGAGTATATGTTAAACAGCAAGGGTGATAGTATACATCCCTGTCGGACCTCACGTTTGATTTTGATATCATCGGATTCTCCTCCCAATGTATGGATAGATGATGTTTGATTCTAGTTAAGATTGCTAATAATTCTTAGATCATACGTGTTTATCCCAATATTTGTTAATATTTCTATCAGCTTGCCGTGTTTTACTGTATCAAATGCTTTATAGTAATCAATGAAGCATGCTTAAATATCGCAATTCGCATCTCTTCTTCTTCTTCTTATTCTTTTGGCATTTATAACCCTGGATGGGTCTTTGCCTGTCTGGCTATGTCCTTCCATTCAGATCTCTCTTGTGCCCTTCTTCTCCATTGTCTTATGTTCATTGTTTTCAGGTCGTCTTCCACGTCATCCAACCATCTCGTTCTGGGCCTTCCTTTTTTTCGCCTTCCTATGGGCTTCCATTGTAACATTTTCTTTGTTGTTTTTGCATCGTTTTGTCTCTGCACATGTCCCAGCCATGACAGTCTTTGACTTTTCACAAATCTTACAATGTCATAACCTTCATTTAACTCATTAACCTCGTCGTTTCTCCTGATTCTCCACGTACCATCTTCCTCTTGTACCGGGCCATATACTTTCCTCAGTATTTTTCTCTCGAATGTCCTGAGTTGGGCTTCATCTTTTTTCGTCATTACCCAAGTTTAACATCCATAGGTTACTACGGGTCTAATCAGTGTTCTGTAGATAGTCATTTTGGTTCTTTTTTTATTTTCAGAAGAAAATAAAAAAATTTCTTGTAGAGAATTCACATCTCTACATCGTTGAAATACGAAAACCAAACTGTGTATGGCTGATTTTTTCTTCGCATAGTCTGTATATCCTTTGATGTATGATTTTTAGAAATAACTTTAAAATGTGGCTCATTAAGCTGATGGTCCAAAAATCATTGCATTCTCCTTTACTAGATTGTAACAACCTGGTCCAATGATGCTACCTAAAGTAAAATATAAAACTTATTAATGTTTAATTATTAAACATTATTAGTGCTGTTTGGAATTCTGTTTGTGCTCCATATTAGAAAATACTTTGTTCTACTCCATTTTTTATAATTCTGTTCTTTGCACATTTTACATAAAAACAGTAACTTAGTTTTGTTTTTTCTTATAAAAAACTAAACGTTGTAATTTTTATGATTCATAAGTTAAGCTATTACTTCAATTCCAACTTTTTTGAGCTACATATTTTTGGTAAAATAAATATTAACTGATGATGTGTATGGGATTCATATACGAAACGTCTTCAATAAAAGGATGAAGTGGCAAGTATCCTTTCTTTTATTCTCCAACTTTTGACAGATAAAAGTTCAATATCACAGTGAAGTTTTTGAGTCTCCTTTTTTATTTAACAGATTATCTGGGCTGAATCTGAACTGTATCAGAACTTAGCATTGAAAATTTAATGCTATAGAATTTATTCGAGCTTAATTTAAGAGAAAAATTGACCGGAAAATTACTGGTTTAAAATATCCGATTAGAATATATTGACCATGTCATCAAGGAAGAAATAAATACATTTATGCGTTCATCTACTATATTGTGCAACCTTTATAGTAAACGCCCACCAGACGGAGCTGCTCAACTCTTTTCAGAGCGATTGAGGAGAGATGTGGGCTCTTCCAGTGTGGCTAGTACTTACTCCAGGGACACTAAGAGATACATAGATACATTGGTGCGGTTGAGCTAGCCCTTCCATTTTCACTCGGACGTCGTTTAGCTCGAAAGCGGCTAGTTGGATCTTGAAGTATGAGGTCTCATATGATAGGATTTAACGAATAAAATCCGATGACAAAGAAAAATTAAACATGACGGCATGCCAAAGTGGCTTTAGTTAGATACGTATCTTTGGTACTATCAGGCCAATCGTGACATGCATGGTGTAATAATATGAGATGATTTAGCAAATATAATATAATGACAAAGAAAAATTAAATATGGCGGCATGCCAAATGGGCTTTAGACACGTATCTTGGCTACTATCGATCCAATTGTGACGTGCGAGTTATGTGACAAGATTTAACGAATAGAATACAATTACAAAGAAAAATCAAAAATTTCGCATGCCATAAAAACCTTAAGCTTATATGATCTAAACTTATTAACGTACAGATAGGTACGAGGTGTGATATGACGAACTTTCAATTCTTCTGAGTTAAAGAAATGTATGGCGCATGTTATCAAAGAAGAAGTAAATGCATTTGTGCGTTAAGAGTCTATATTTTATTTCATAACGTTGAAAAGACACTTTCAGTGCATCTGCTGTAGACTGTAACCTATATAGTAGTGAAATAGTATATAGAGTATGGAGGTTTGACCTTAAATTTCGTGATGTACATTTGGTGCGACCCATTCTTAGAAGTAAATTAATAAGACTTGATCATAATTATTAATCCATATTTAGGTTACCAACATTACTAAACTAAAGGAATAAAACAAAATTGAACTTACAATAACATCAAATTTGGCATAAATATCTACAAGTCTTCCTTCGGTATCTATCACAGGTAGCGCAGAAACTCGCCTTTCGACAAATTTCTTTAAAGCTAGAATAATCGTGGTCTCTTCCGACGCCATTTCAATATTGTCGTAACTACCGATCCTAAGTTCCCTCAGAGTTTTCTGCATGTAACTGGGTTTTGGTAATTCGTTAATCTAAAAGAAAAAAGTTCTGTTAATTATTTGCATTTAAAAAATAATATTGTTACGTTTAACTAAGAGTTATACACAATCTTAACAATGAACATCTGTTTCTATATTCTATGTACAGACAGTCGTTTGTCACATCAAATTTGTAAGCTCTTGAAAATAATTGTCAAATTATTTTAAAACATGCCGCAGCATCTAACTGAGTCAATCAAAACTAGGATCGTTTTATAGCGAGTAAAACAGATCCTTAAATTCAGTATCTGAATTAGTCAGTAGGCTGAAAAGTGCCATGACTCACTAATTAAAATTAAAAAGTGTTAAATTGCATTTATTATTTTTAATATTCAGACTCTATGTGAAATTGTACCGACTCAGTTCTGCGTCATTTGTTTTGACACCGTTAAGTCAGTCTGTCTAAATCTCTCGATATTTTGCATTTCCACTTCAGTGTTTATCTAGTAAAAATAAAGTCCAATCCGGCTCGAAGGGCCAAAACGAAGTAGACTATATCCGCCAAAATACTTTTGCTACAGAGAGAACATTATTCTCAGAATCTCCCAGAACGTTTATACAAATGCGTTTAAATTCATTACTATTTAACTGGGAATAAGCCACAATTAAAGATAAAAATACGTTTATTGACGTTTCAATTTCCTTTGAGAACACCTTTGAATAACTGTTCTGATGAGACCTATTAGGTCGAAATACGTATCAACAGATACAAAGGCGCTGTTTGCGTAAAATCAAATATTTGCTGTCTTTTTCATTTTATTCGGATCTACTCTGTACGAGTACAAGAAACCAAGTCGCTAAGGATTTCTGCTTAGTTGAAAAAACGTGTCGTAGAATGCAAATTTTAGATTCCCCACGTCTCTTTTAACAACTTCATCAACGTCTGTTTTGCTTTGCAATTTTTAGAAAGCACAGATTAAAGCGGAAATCTGAATTGTGTTTCGAAACTATTTTACGGTATTTAAATGTATTTTAGTGCTCTTGATTGTTTATTTGTATTGTTTACTCCGAAAACATTTGGAAACAAAAAATTATACTTACATACAAAAATAAAAATCTAAGTATTCGTTTATGCGTGAGAATATACAGTACGTTTCCCGTTTCGGGATCTATGACAGGCAACCTGTGAATTCTATTGTGTATTAATGTTTTAATTGCATCGTAGAGTGAGGCATCGGGACCTAAAAAACAAAAACAAATTAATATTACACTTTGCAGACTGTTTATTTAATTATTATATACTATCAAAAGTTAAAAAGATTTTTAACAGACTCCATTAAGTACTAATTCGATATAACGGTGTACCGAAGATCCAAATAGAACTGTTGAAAGTAATACAAAGAAGAAATTATGTACCAAATTTTTAAGATCCAGTGCTTTTCTTTCAAGAAAAGGTAAAGGCCTACAAACATGAGAATATTCACCCCAAATTGTTCATGGTGCAGTCAACTCACTTTAAACTTGTAGCATTTCTTTTATCCACTCTGTATATCATATTAATTACATAATAAAGTTTTTATTTACCACTTTGAAAATTGCGTCTTAAAATTTTCGAAGAGAATAACATAATATAAATGTTTATTTCTACTGCCAGATTCCTTTAACGAAATGGGTACCGTCCTTCTTTTATTATTTACTTATTATATTATATATTATATTATATTATATTATTATATATTTACTTTATTTACTTATTTTGCTTTTCTCACTCAATCCCGCATGAATTTTAAAATAAAATTTGAACAAAACATTCAAATAGGCGAGAGAAAAGTCTAGGGATATTGCGATTACATTAAATTTTGACCAGAAAAAGCGGCACTAGTGTCGTCTCGGGGAGTTTGAGAGGATCACTCTGATTTTAGTGTCCTGGGCGGTTACTTGGGTCGGGCCGGGATGGTTGTTATTTTTGAGGGAGGTATATTACAGTTTACTTAATTTCTGGTTTATCTATTGATATCAAGGTGATGAAATATCCAGCTGGCTCCTTACTGGTTGGGAGCTGGTTGAGAGAAGAGAGCAACTAGAAGTTGGGAGCACTATTCTACTGTTGTGGCTTTTTCTTTATACAAGATAGCTAATCAGCTAATGCCTTTCACATCCAAAAATACCGATACCTCGACCTTTATCGCCAATGGTCCCGTAGTAGGATCCTTTGAATATGGAGAACCTGGTGTTAGATTACTCTTTGGTTTGGGGTGTGTAGTAGAAAATCTACGTTTCATCCATTGTAACTAAAATAACAGTAACTTTTTTGTGTTATCGACGCAAAAAACGCGCAGCACTGTTAGGAAAATACAACGTGAAATCATTTGCTCTCTGCAGAGAACACTCGTGGATCTTGCGCAAGACTTTATCATATTCAATTCTTTGGTGCAAGATGTGAACAACATATTCCTTTGGTATCTTTAGAAAAATGACAATTTAATACTGCGCGCTTCCATGAACTTTGATGACAACTTTCGTGTGACGGACGTCATTCACATTGACCATCTTAGATACTTTCACAGAAAAGTTCAAAATTTGGTCTCCACTTTCTTCATGATCATAAATTCAAAGGTGAAAAGTCACCATGTAAGTTTATAAGCCACAAATGAATTTTGTTCGGTGTTAATAATTGTTTACAAATAATTTTACCATTGCGCAGCACCCGAAATGTTTTCAGCATAAGAAAAAATCATCAAGTAATTTTGCGATATCTGGGCGAGGCTGAGAACTTATCAGACCGTCTTAGTGTGACCGAAAATAAAAATTTTATATAATTAAAAATCAACTGTTACCGTAATATACACAAAAAACTATGTAACGGATGTGGTTACTGCAATAATCTTATATTGTGGTTACAATTATTAGATAAAACTCAAAAAGAAAATCTTAAAACCTCCAATATTTATGTGCGGCTTAAAAAACCACGTAAATTATAATTAAATATATAGTATGTACTTCAAAACCTTCTTCTTAAACCAAAAACAAGATCCAAAAGTGGCAAGAATCAAAAAACAACTATAACTTTTCTGGTGATTAAAAGATATCATTATCATATTAGATGTACACACTCCGGTGAACACTGTATATTTTTCCATCGAAAATATTTATTATATGGGGATCAGCAGATAAAAAAATTCATGGCTTTATTTCATACCATTCGCATATTTCACATAGATGGACAATTATTGTTTTATCATATATACTTTTCAGTTTTTTTCCTTTTAAAATTTTTATTGTAAAAATTGTTGGCGCCCAAATATTCTGTTAATTATCATTTTTTTTTATTTCGATTTTCTACTCATTCAATTCAATTTCACCTTTACATTTCGTATAACCCTTATATACATAATGTCATTTTGGAGTTTGGTAAAATTGAATGACACTTGTCACTTGTCAAAACTGTTACTCAAACAGCTATGCGGTGGTGTTTTTGCTTAAAAATATAGTTCTTTCGTGTAACTACATTTTTTTTGCTCTTTAATAACCTAACAATAACATAATAACAATAACATAATAACAATAAACAAACTTTAATATGGTTTTAATGCGTTTATTTTTAGTTGTTTGTTTTGGTACACAAGTACTTCATTTAAATTTTGGGCTTTTGGTTTTGAGTACATAGACGTTATTCGTACTTTGGTTAAATTTCGTCATTTTGAAATTATTTCTCTGTTCTCGGGACAAAAGACAAACTAGAAGCAAAGAAGAAATAAACTAAAGCAAACCAAAGATGATTTTGAAAGAAGTTTTGAGAGGTGATCACAGAGAGGAAAGATCAACTATGATCAACGATGATTCGTGTAAACTAGAAGAGAACATAGTAAAAGAAACAAGGAATAAGGAAGAAGTAAGTGTGAAGAAATAGTAAAAAAGAAAATAATAGGGAATCCACAAAGTAATGAAAAAAACCATTAATTTTTAAAAAAATTTGCCAGGTTTGGATTTTTTATTTTACTTTCTCCACCATTTTATCCAAAACGGTACTTTCGCTGCATTGATGTCATTCTTAAAGAAACTGAGCGATAAATTAAAAAATATATATATTTACCTATATTTATAAGAGGTTTCTTATCCTTAAGTACCCGTCGCCAGGTGTCTAATTTGTGTTCTTCTAATTCGTCCATGGCTACATCTGGAGATTTGTAATACATCCTAAGGATCTTTATGAAATCTGTAATGGTTAACATACCAACAAACTCTTGCTTGGAACTATCCCACAACGGTGCTGCCCTGACACCTAAAAATACAAAAAAATATATTAACAAGGTTAAATTTAACGTACAATGTTTCTAGCGCATTAGTCAATGCGCCCCAAGTTATTTTTTACAATTACAATTTTACATATAGCCGCTTAGAGGGCGCCACCAATAAAACCTTCCGACATAAATGTAAACTCAACCTTTTGTTTATATAAATCGAAAGTTTCATTGCAATATAATCAGTCCTGTAAATACAGTGAATTTTTGATATTAGCAAAGGATTTTAATCGAGAACATTTTTGAGCAATAATTTTTTACAATTTTCGCAGAGGGTTACCCCAACAGCAATATCTCGCTCAATGGTTTCTGTGTTTGTGAATGATACATCACACTAGTCAACTATTTTCCGCTGGTATTAGCGATGAATCTTGGATTTACTCGTACGAACCGAAAAATAAACGCCAATCCGCTGTGTGGGTGTTTCACGATGAGGAAAAACCAACTAAAGTGATCCGTTCTCGAAATGTCAAAGAAAATGGTCGCAACTTTTGCGTAAAAACCTGATCATGTGGCAACAATTGCTTTAGAAGATCGAACAATGGTTGCTTCTGATGGGTATATAATCATTTGTTTACTAGAGGTTATCGCCAAACTCCGACAAAGCAACACACAACGGCGAATCATCCTACATCAGGACAATGCAAATACTCACAGAGTTTTTGGAGCTTCAAAACATCGATTTGTTAAACCATCCACCTTATAGCCCCGACCTAAGTCCCAACATTCCTCCTTCCTCACGTTCCCAAAGATCAAGAATTCAATGCGTGGGCAGCGGTTCCAGTAGTCTGAAGAACCCATTGATCCCTTTAAAACAGTGATTTTACAGGTGTCAACTGAAGACTGGAATAACTGTTTTACCAATTGGTTTGAACGTATGCAAAAGTGTATGGTTCTTGGGACATATTTTGAAAAGCAATAATCTACACGTCATATGCACCACTACACTAAAAAATGTATTAGTCTCTTTGCTCATGTGGTTGAGGTTGTGTAATCTATTTCTGCCAGTTTGTGCAGCAAATGTGGTTGTTTTACAAAAGCGTTCTAATTGTGTACCAATTTTAGTGTGCTAAAAATTGATCTGAGAGATACGCTGGCTTTTAGAATTCCCATAGGTGTTATGTCCTGATGTAATGGGGTGTTATTGTTTTTTGGTAATCTGTCAGGTATCCTTGACCTCGAAAAAGTCGAGAATTTCATAACAAAAATTGCCAAACTCAAATGGAGCTTTGCAGACCACACTGCTAGACAAAACAACCAACGTTGGAACGCCACAATAAAACAGTGGAGACCGTACAAAGGTAGACGATCAAGAGGAAGACCACAAATGACATTCGTAAAAGACATCAAAAAAATAGCCGGATCAATATACAAATTACAGAAAAGGTAATTATTATACAGTACTTGGAGAAATATGGCGTAAAATCCAGAAAATCTGTCTGGGAACGTTAACCTGACGGACACCACTGGGTTTAGAGAAGACGAGGTTAAAATGTGGTCTAGTTACCGTTCTACAGTATGAGGATTTTTTTTAACTGGTATTTCTTAATTCGGAAAAACTGGCCTTTTTATTCTGCGGAAACTATCTTTAAATACGCCACGAACATTCATCAAGAGCATGATATACCGATTGACGTTTTATTGGCTTCAAATGCTTAGAATAGCTTGCTGAGACCCTAGACTTAAACTGGTTCGAGCATGTGTTATATAAATTGATCTGGTTTTTACAACTGAGATACCTGAAAGAGCTAGGTAATGGTTTGCACGAAGCATGGAATAAGATACATCAGACCTTCCCTAATAACTGTATTGCCTCAACAAATTGCTGTTACTATCATAGTATTTTTTAACATTATAGTTTATTCGTCTTCCGGGTTTGGACCGTGTCATTTGTGAGTGACCCAAAAGTGGGTTGATCTCGACTTTTCGCTACAATTGTATGTAGCTTCTTCAGGAGGACAAAGAAAAAGAAATCAAAAGACAGGAAGATGGGTAGTTAGCAACGGTAACTCAGTTACTCAACGCAACCAGAGGCGAATACTAACTACCAAGATGGGCATTTGGTCACAGTAACTCAACTACTTAACGCAGCCAGAGGTGAAAACCAAATGCCAGGACAGGGATTCACGTCCAACAGCTCAGAACACTAACGCGTCGAGAGGCGGGGAGTGAATCCGACGATTACTCCGCTACCGCTCTATTTATAGTCGCGGTGACCTGTCGTGTCGGGACGTATCGGCACACTCCGTGGCGCGAACGTCAAGAAGCGCGCGCTGGCCAATCATGTGGCTGCATCGTGGTGGCGGGACCGGACGGGCGGCTCTAGACTGAGATTCCAGATGGGAGACAAGTAGTATCCTTCCTCTCGATTGATATTATGTGGATTTTTTCGGATCTCTAGAGATTCGCGGATTTTCCTGGAATAAAAGAAGGGGCTCTTAGAAATAATATGGTTTTTTTCGAACAATATGGAATGACCGGTTTCTTGGCAGTGTTCTGCAACTGCAGAATGGGAGAAAAGACCTGATCGAATACATCTTTGATGCTCTTGAATCCGAGTTTTGACGGAACGACCAGTTTCGCCAATATACACATGTCCACATGTCCCGCCACCACGATGCAGCCACATGATTGGCCAGCGCGCGCTTCTTGACGTTCACGCCACGGAGTGTGCCGATACGTCCCGACACGACAGGTCACCGCGACTATAAATAGAGCGGTAGCGGAGTAATCGTCGGATTCACTCCCCGCCTCTCGACGCGTTCGTGTTCTGAGCTGTTGGACGTGAATCCCTGTCCTGACATTTGGTTTTCACCTCTGGCTGCGTTAAGTAGTTGAGTTACTGTGACCAAATGTCCATCTTGGTAGTTAGTATTCGCCTCTGGTTGCGTTGAGTAACTGAGTTACCGTTGCTAACTACCCATCTTCCTGTCTTTTGATTTCTTTTTCTTTGTTCTCCTGAAGAAGCTACATACAATTGTAGCGAAACGTCGAGATGAACCCACTTTTGGGTCACTCACAAATGACACGGTCCAAACCCGGAAGACGAATAAAACTATAACGTCTACACTTCTCTGATACCAGCATCAAAATGAGAAGAATTAACCTTGGTTTTTTTGACGCTTTTCCATAAGAAATAACATGGGGCATATATCTACCACTACACTAGAAATGTATTAGTCCCTTTGCTCATGTTGTTGAGGTTGTAATATATTTCTGTCAATTTGTGCATGAAATGTGTGTGTTTTACAATTGCATTCTAATTATGTATGTAGAACCAATTTCAGTTTGCTGAAACAAATTGATCTGAGAGGTACACTGGCTTTTAGGCATTTTTATAGGTTTTAGGGTTCTTTGGTAGCCTGTCAGGTATCGTCGAACTCGAAAAAGTCGAGGATTTCACAACAAAATTTGCTAAACTCAAAAGGAGCTTTGCATGCCTCACTACTAGACAAAACGACCAACGTTGGAATGCCACAATACAACATTGGGCAAAAGTTACCCGACCATTATGAGATAAGTAGATGACATCAAAAAAATAGCAGGATTAAAGTAAATATAAACGGTAAAGTCCCTTCTTCTTTAGACTGTATTCGTCCACCGCTGGACAGGCCTCATCCACTGTTTGCCCGCGACTTATTTGATATCATCTGCCCACCTCTTCTGTGGTCTGCCTACTCCTCGCTTGTTCTCTCTTGGCGCAATATCCCGGGCCACATGTCCGACCCAATGGTCGGAAAATCGGTTGAAAAAAAAAATTATAAAGTGCTTGAAGGAATATGGTGTAAAACCCAGAAATCCTCTCTGAGAATTGTTCTCCGATGATTCCGGATTTAACGTTAACCTAACGGACTCCACTGGTTTCCACACACACAATTTTTTTACTGGTAATGCCTAAGACGGAAAAACTGGCCTTTTGACGTTTTATTGGCTTCAAACGCTTAGAATAGCTTGCTAAGAACCAAGACTTGACCCGATTCTAGTATATGTTATAAAAATTGATCAGGATTTTTACAGCTGAGATACCTGAAAAGTTGGGTAATGAGTTCCACGAAGCATGGAATAAGATACATCAGACCTTCACTAATAACTCTATTGCCCTGATGATTTGCTGTTAGTTTCATAGTATTTTATAAAATGTTTACTTACCATTATATACAAGGGCAAAGAAGGCCTTTTTAACTAACAACTGTGTATCGAAGACGACTAGCTTAGCAGATGTTGGAATGAGGTCGTAACATTTGTGGAATTTGAAGAACTTAACGAAAATTTGCGACTCATCTTCCTCTGAAAACAAATAAAAATAATGTAATATACTAAACACAAAAAGTAAAAAAAAGGATACTTGTAAAGCCAACTGTTTACAAAATGTAAGAAATATCTACTTAAATATTAACAATAATATAAATTAGCTATTAGAAAATTTATATATTCGATGCAATATGCCATTATTTATACAATGGGGTAAGTTGTAACGATATCTTGTTGCAAGTGTTAAAAGATGGTATTTATTCATGGTTTCAACTACTATTATCACAAATTTTGAATCATCAAACATACTGGCACTGTTAAAAATGAACGACGAAAGGGACATGATTATGGAACACATAGATATGTCAGAAATTTTGCACGTCACATGCCATGCCTGTCAAACGTCACTTAAAAATTAGACTTATCACCTCTCATCTATAGTAAAGTATGTATCTAAATTATAGGTACTAAATTTTGAGAAATGATAATTGAGAAACGACAATACTGTTGCTAGGTTGTGATTATAGATAATTTATCAACTTCTATGTTAATAATTTTCGTACAGTTAAATGGTTATATAGTCTTTAAAGTACATAAAAAACATGACAACGCTGAGCAGTAGAAAAGAGCAGTAAATAATTAAAGACGCAAGTTAGAGAGAGACATATAACGCAATCTGAGCACTCACCTGACACTCAGTAGCGTATCGTTATCATCAATTTTAAAAGTTTTCCCTCGCTACTTGATTTTTTATTGCAGCTCATTAAGCTCGATAAGCTCATATAAGCTCATAATGATAAGGAAGGAGTCGCAAAACAACTATTTCCTTTTCACGACCCATTTCTATAACAACATATTTCTTGTATTAGGGCATCACAAAAATGTAACAGCACTTACATTTCTGTGACACTAGAACATTGCTAAGAAATGTAGTTACAAAAACTCCTTACTGGGGTTTTAGGTGTTGGGAAAGATACAGTTTTGTGTCTCTCAATAGAACTCACTAAAGTAAGTTCAATGGTTAGATATCTCAAAATGGGAAAAAATGTAGTTACATTTTTGTGTCACAAAGCTGACGAGTTTTTATGTAAGTAATAATAGTCTTGTTTTAACAATAATTTGTATTAAACTTCGTTTTAGACTTAAAGTGAGTTAATCTTTTCATAAACAGTGCCGATTAAGGCAAAGGTTTGTGAGAAACAAGCTTTTTATTGTCATATTTTTCATCACAAGCATGTTTGGAAGTTCATTTGCATAAAAATCAAATAAAAAAATGAACAGCCAAAGAAATTTGTCAATGGAGAGGCAGTGCGAGCATCGACTCTCCTAGATGAACGATATTCAATGCATTACGTTGCAGGTTTGTTAGAAAGGGATCATTTCAGCATCAGTCGCAAGGTGAGGCGATATAATGAAACAGGGTCGTACCATCGAAGACCAGGGGCGAAAACATTGCACTAATCAAATTGATGGTCGTTTTTTGAGACAATGTGCTCTCAGAGATAGGAGAGTCACCAGCAATTTGCTAAAAAATGAACTAGCAGATGTTCGAAATATTGCGATATCGTCTCGAACAGTTAAAAGACGTTAACGTGAAGCAGAATTGAGCAACAGAAAACCGGCCAAAAAACCCTTGCTTACCAGAAAACACAGCGTTCGGAGATTGAATTATGCAAGATTGTATCAAAATTGGACCATCGATGATTGGAAACGAGTTCTTTTCTTCGATGAGACTAGAGTAAGTCTAAAAGCTCCAGATGGTCGTGAGCCTGTCTGGCGAAGGCGAGGAGAAAGGTTTGCCAGCTGCAATATCTCTCCTAAAGTACCTTTTGGTGGTGGCTCTAAAATGTTTTGGGGGGAATTTATTTTGAAGCTCGTACGGAGTTACTCCCCATACGTACGAGATCTATGAATGTCCATTATTACTTAGACAACATTATTGTCGAACCTAATAGTCCGGACAAAAATTCGAAGTTGTAGACCCCCTATTGCCAATCACAACCAACTCATTGAGGCCGTTATTGAATCGACGCTAAATGCAGTCATAAGAAGTAGAGGAGGACCTACACGGTATTAATGTTGACCCAGATGCATTTTATTATGTTACTTTACTTTTTTTTTCTTTTTGCAATTTGGAGTTTGCAATATTTGTGCAATCGATTTTGAAAAAGCTTTTGACAAAGTCCGACATAACAAAATGCTAGAAATATTGGAAACAGCTGGATTGGACGATAAAGATCTACGAATAATTACAAATCTATACTGGCATCAAGTGGCAAGAATAAAGGTTGAACAAGAACTGTCGGATGAAATAAATATAAAAAGAGGAGTGAGACAAGGCTGTATATTGTCGCCTTTACTTTTTAACTTATATTCGGAGGAAATATTTAAGGAAGCCTTAATGGAGACAACCGAAGGTATTATTGTGAATGGAGTAACCGTCAACAATATTAGATATGCCGACGATACCTTAGTCCTTGCCAACTGCGGAGAAGACCTTCAAAATCTAATGAACAAAATAAAACAGACTTGTGATCAGTATGGATTAAAACTCAACGTTAAGAAAACTAAATATGATAGTTAGCAAACAAAATTATATACATGATGACGGTATAAAAGTCGGAGATGCCACACTGGACAGAGTAGAGAAACTCGTGTATCTCGGCAGTAATATCAATGAGAGCTGGGATCCAACCGCAGAAATTAAAAGCCGAATAGAACAAGCCCGAGCTGCCTTTGTAAAAATGAGAAACGTACTTTGCAGTCACGATCTTAGCATTGACCTATCATATGTGTTTTTTTTTATTATTCCGGTATTCTTTGGACCTTACCTTTCACATGTGAAGCATAATATTGAAGTACGAATATAACCCTGAGATAAGAGAATTAAAAAGTGTGATAGAGTCATAATCATATCATTTAAATAATTTTAATTAATTAATTAATTAGCTAATTAATTGCTTGGCGCACTAAGACATTGAATATCACAATAATATATAAACTCTATTTTATTCTAAAATATGTTAACGCTGTACAATTTCAATGATACGCAACTACTATTGTTTTTGTTTTAATATGTAGACCATCAATCTTCCTTAATCCATATGATTAATGACATTTAAATTAGCTACTGACATCATTGAGTACCATCTATATAGGATACTATGTTTTGGTTCTACGCTATTTAAATATAACTTAAAATTTGTTAAGTGTATGATCGAGAAAAGTTAATGTATCAATAACAGTTTGTTGGTAAATATTGCGGTATATGGGTATCCTAATAATTGACATTAGCCTAATAATATCATAAAAATCAAAATTAACTAATAATTAAATGAATAGAGAGTGCAAATATAGAATTTATATCATTTTATTAAGAGTATAGACAAAAAAGCAAAGATTTTATAGAAAAACGTGAGATTGCATTGCAGAAGTTTGACATTAATCTCATAATCGGACAAAGATTAAAATAAATCAATAAAAGAAATATGGAGGTATATTAAGGGACTGCTTATTATAGCTGCCATCCAACCTCTCAACGAAAGACTATACACACTAAGAATCAGAGGTAAATTCTTTAAATATTCAATAATAAATGTCAATGCACCAACTGAGGAGAAGCCGGATGAAGAAAAAGAACAATTTTATGAACAACTGGAAAATATCATACAAAATTGTCCTAAAAATGACGTAAAGGTCTTAATAGGAGATTATAATGCAAAGAAAGGTAAAGAGAAGGAATACATGCCAACCATTGGAATTCACAGTTTACATGAAGAGTCAAACAACCGAACTCGACTAATACACTTAGCCTCCTCAATGAACATGGTGATTGCCAGCACATGCTTCAGGCACAAAGATATACATAAGGGAACATGGAGAAGTCCAGATAGGAATACAGTAAACCAAATCGACCATGTTGTGGTTGACGCAAGACACTTCAGCGACGTGATAGACGTAAGTGCAAGACGCAAGGCGAACATACACTCGGACCATTACCTACTACAAGCTCAACTAAGAGCTAGAATCTCCAATGCAAAGAAGAAAAAAAGAGTTAAAGAGGAAAGGTTTACGGTACAAGCGTTGAAGAACTCTGAGATAGCTAAGATAATCAAGGAAAGTCTCAAAAGCAAGCTGGAAGGCTGCACGGCTGTTACAGTTGAAGATATTAACAACTATTAGAGGCAAAGTAGAGCCATATTGGAAGAAGTGGCAACTGAAGTTATCGGAAAGCAAAAACGTAAGGTCACTCTGGTACGATGAGGAATGCGCACAAGCAACGCAAAGAAAAAATCAGGCATATAGAAGACTCCAAGGGCGAAGAACGAGACAAACAGAGGAAGAGTATAGGCAGCTGAGACGAGAGGAAAAATGAATACTTGAAAAATAAAAGAGCATATGGAGAGCCAACTAAAAGAACTAGAGAACTATAAGGCACAAACAGAAACGCGAAAATTCTACAAGAGGATTAACCAGAACAGGAAAGAATTAAACCTAGATTATCAATCGTTAGAAATAGAACAGGGGAGATCATTGGTGATCAGTACCAGATACTAGAAAGATGGGCAGAAAACTTCGAGGAAAGGCTAAATATAAGAGGTGAGACAGGGCTCCACGAATCAGAAATCCAACTCGAGAACATTGACGATGAAAGAGAGAAAGATAACATCCCAACAGAGGTAGAAGTCATCCAAGCTATACAGAAATTGAAAGATAACAAAGCCCCTGGGGCAGATGGCATTCCTTCAGAACTTTTAAAGCATGGCAAAAAAAGCCTGACATACTGTATACGTAGAACTGGTAAGCACTGGAAGCAAATAAAGTTGCCAGAAGACGGGAATGTAGGCGTATTAATCGACATTATTGCAAGAAGAAAGGCGGACGTGGTCGAATCATTCAAGGCGCTAGAAGCAGCAACAAAAATAATGGGACTAGATGTTAGCACTAGTAAGACGTATATGAAAGTATCAAATTATATACAAGCAGCACAACCCGAAGAAGAGGAGTAGAAGAGTAGAGAATGAATGGGATGGAGA